ACAGAGTTCTCAGCATTCACAGAAACAAGCGCGCTTATTGGAAAAGCATTAAAGAAGTGACGTGACATGTGGCCAAGTATGGTTACCCATACTCGAAATTAGTGCTCTGCATTTATCCCATCCAAAGTCCACACACACAGCCAGCAGTGAACACACACACACACCGTGAACACACACCTGGAGCAGTGGGCAGCCATTTTTTTGCTGCGGTGCTCGGGGAGCAGTTGGGGGTTTGGTGCCTTGCTCAAGGGCACCTCAGTCATGGTATTGAAGGTGGGAGAGAGCGCTGTACATTCACACCCCCCACCTACAATCCCTGCCAGTACGAGACTCGAACCCGCAACCTTTGGGTTATGAGTCTGGCTCTCTAATCATTAGGCCACGACTTCCCCATGTACATGAAAAGGAAGAAAAGGAAAGCTTTTATGAAGAGTGACCCATAATGCTCCATTTAACCTTTTTTTTTTTTAAGAAAAGCCATATAATTTACTCTAGAAGAACAGTAACTTTGGTAACACATACAGTAAGTTTCAATTGATTAACACTGTTAAATGCATCATGAACTGAAAATAAACAACACATTTTTTACAGAATTATAAAATGTAGGCAGTTTTAAATTAAAATAAATAAATAAATAAACTACCGTTCATTGTTAATTCATGTTAGTTCATAATACTTTAGTTAATACAACTTGTTAAAAATGTATTATTAAATGCAGAAATTAAATCAATCAATAAATGCTAAAAGGTTGTACATACATATAACTTATTGTAAAATGTTACCATAAATATTTTGAAACTAAGCATGCCCTTTTGGTTGAATAATTTTCTCAGTTACGTATGTCTCCAAGTGTAATAAAACCATTTTGTCCGGGGAACTACATGAACCAAATCCCACCACCATCCAAGTCTTCCGTTGTTCCCTGATTCTCTTTTCCCCGCTGTCCATTTCTTTTTCCCCTTTCCACAAATATCTGTCTCTGTTCTCAAGACTTGTCAGTTTATATGTGAAGCATGTTTTTCTCATTATTGTGTTGCTATGGTTGTGGCTTGGTCCTTCTGTTACCTGTGATTGGGTCATCTCTCTCTTTGTCTCTCTTTCTCTTTTTCTCCCTTCCTTTTTTGCTCTCATTCCCAGTTTCTCTCTCTTTTGCTGCATTGGGTCAGTGTTTGCCAAGCATAACATTTCAACAGTAGAGAGATTGTTAGGAGCCTGTGTGCTCAACCTAAGTAACACCCTCCAACACATGCATGTCAGCGGAATAGCTCCCCTTCGTTTGTGAACTCCTCACCTGTCTGGGAAGCTTATTGACAGGTCAAATGTGTGTACATACTACTGGATGGGGCATTGCATTGCCACACTGGCCCCCTGTGTCTGACTGAGGTTTGCATCGGACACCCTGGTGTGCAGCACCCGGAAGGAAAACATTTCTGTAAAAGCTTTTTGTTCTGAAAAAGACTTCAACGACCTCACAGAATAATTATGTCTAATTATTCCTGTTTAAATGGGTTTTTGACTTCCCTATTTCCATTTTCAAAAGACGAAAGTCCTGTTTATACTATTTTAGCAACAGAAGTAGAATGTCTTTCATGGTTTTGTTTTTCTTTTCTCACCTTTCTACCCTCTTCTATTTTTTCCTTCAATTCGGTTTCTGCTTTTTTTTTTTTTTTTGTTCCTTTACTCATGGCTCGAAAACGTGTCTATGTTCCTGTCTGGATTTTAATTACTAGCTAGAGTGTATTTTGAATTCGTCTTGGAAAAAGTGGGCTAACGTCTGATATTAATGTGCATGGATGAGGATTTGGGAAGTATTTGCACATATGCAGGGTTCTTGGTGGAAATTAGGGATGTACCGATACCGATACTGGTATCGGGCCCGATACTGAGCTCCTGTTCTCGTACTCGTTAAAATGCCCCGATACCAAACGCCGATACCACACAGCATGTGATCAGTGCCATATTCAGACAAAGAAACACCGACAACAGAACAACAGACAGCAGAATGGAGTTATTAGATATTAAGGATGTCTACGAAGTGTATGTATGCAATTAATATAATGTTAAACATTCAGTATTAATGCCTGCATAGGTGACGTGCGCGAGTTGATAAGCAAATCACGCTGAGTGGATTGAGCGCACGGCGGCGCAGATGCGCGAGCTTGTCGAACGAATATCCCTTTCTCACAGACGTCACTGTTTGTAGTTCGGTCAGATGTCAAAAACAAGTGAGTAAACCAATGCACAAGTTACTTAATGGTAAGGAGAGAGAGAGAGAGAACGCACTTCTGTTGCATGATCTTTTTTGATGTTCGCTCACTTAACAGACGCATCATTTGGATTAAAACTAAATCGTAAATATAAAACAAAATTTATAGGGGCATTTGCTATAAACGTAATTTATTTTCAACCTTAAACATAACACGACTTTATGGTGAAAGTGAAACTATCAGCCAGTGTGAAATGCGCTAGGCTGTACCGTACTTGTCCCTCTCATTCTGCACAATACAAATACGTGCGCGCGTTGCGCATGTTTTGCTTGCTTCATGAGTGTTTCTGCATTATATGAGTCGCTTTAGAATATAAATTGCAGCACGTTTGAGATGGAAAAAAACGCGACTTCTATATCTGAAAATATCACAGTTAGGAGATTTATAAGGAGTGGTTCCCTGCATTATTACAGCAAAACGCGTGATTACAGTACTGAGCCGCTGCAATGGAGCAGCTCTAATGCAATTAAATTAAAAATGATGTACCATAGAGCAAAAAAAATAAAAAATAAAGGTGAACAGTGAAAGTAACAAAAACTTGTAAAATACATTTTAATGGGCATAATTAAGTGTGAAAATAACCTGAAGAATATACAGTCAAACCAAAAATTATTCAGACACCTGATATAATTTTTGATATTTATTTTTACTAGTGGGACACTATAGTTCATTTATGTAAGTGAGGATAGCAGAATAAAGTGAACTGTGACATATTATACCCAAAAATTCTTCATACTGTGGACTACCAGTAAAACTGATAATTTGGGACCAGAAATTATTCAGACCGAGTCTGGGAAAAAAATTGAAGTTGAGGTTTGCACTGTACTGGCTGACAGCATTCCCAGGAGACTACAGGCTGTCATTGAGGCTAAGGGTGGCCTGACAAAGTATTGATAGTTGTGTAAATATTGTCATACTAACAGTTCTCTGAATAATTGTTGGTTGATTGTAATTCATTACATACCTTTCTATAAAAGTTGTCTGATATTATCAAGATGAATTTGTTCTGACAGTTTAACTCTGAGTTCTTGTCATATTTTATTACCATTTTCTAAACTATAGCGAATAAACTGTGAAAATATGAGAAATGTTGAATTAATTTAGCTTTGACTGTATCTATTTACTAAATGAAGTTAACCAACTAACATTATACATATTATTTTCATTTCTGTACCCAATATTTAAAAAATGTATTGGTAAATTAAAATATATCGGTACTCGGTATCGGCAAGTTCCAAAAATAAAAGTATCGGTATCAGGCGATTACTGGAAAAAGTGGTATCGTGCATCCCTAGTGGAAATAATTGTTGCAAATGGATAATATTGCCGTTTGAAATGGTGGATGTCCAGTGCTTTCAGATCAATATAGCCTGTCAAAAATATCTGAGTTTGGCAGTAGAGTGCTGCAGGGATGACATCATTTTGTAGGCCAGCCCGGAAGTTACCATAACCCTGGTTCCCTTTAAAAAATCACACAGTATTTTTCCACTGTCTTTTGGATTATTTAAAAAAATAATCTGTGACCAACAACAGTTTCTGAAAATCCATGAGAGGGGCATTACTGGTTAATTTTTGTGTTGTAGAATACAACAGAAAAATATCTTAAGCTTGTGTTTACCATAACCGCTTAATTCAAACATTTAACCAAAAAAAACCCATTCAAAAAAACAAAATAAAAAAAACATTACCTTTGGGACGATTGACCTAAAGTGCAAACAAGCCTACTTATTTCTGGGTTTTAAGGCTTGAAGCACACTTTTGGCATCTTTTTTTCTGTGTAATGTTCAGAAGAAATGCATATATATATATATATATATATATATATATATATATATATATATACCATATAGTTCCAGTCCAATCATCTTACCTTTAAAATTTATTGTGTCATGCTTCATATCATTGTTTTATAGTTTTCATAGTAGTTTATGTGGCAGAATGTCTAGGACTAGGGTTGGGCGATGTCTACCAAATTGGCATCTGACGATGTCTACAGTAAAACATCGTGATGGACGATGGCATTGGGGGGCGGGGTTAGGGGGTGTGCCCGAAGTGTGAATCCGTTTGCAGAAAGGCATGGAAAACAAAAAACGCGTTCTACGGAGCCACTAAAGGGACATGGTTAGCCGCTTGCTAGCAGTAAACTGTTACGTTACAGTACATGAAAATTCACTTACCACATACACAGAGTAAGGAGAGATGACTGATATGACAATGGACAATGATTTGCAGATACTGAGCACCACTGACAAATATCTAATCTTGTAAAATGTGTGGTAGGTACTGCCGCTCCGTAGTATAGAGTCCGTGTGAATGTGAAAATGAAAGTGAAAGTAAAATGAGAGCGCGCATTCGAAAGCGGTTTCAATGCCCTGTATTTTAGTAGCGGCTCCCTGATGCCCACAATTTAAATACAGTATTACCCAACTATATAATTGCGAGAGAAAGTATTGAAATTGTATATTTATTCCCTTTAGGGGTTTCTTAGTACACTTAATTTCCTTTCCGAATACGGAATTGGAATTCGGTGGATTGTGGGGGGTATGGGGGGACAGATCACGATGCCGGCTCAACATCGTGATGTCTGTCAGCCATCGGCGATGGACGATGGCATCGTCTATCGGCCCAACCCTATCTATGACCTTTAAAAATCTCTGCTCATCCTACAACAGTTAACTTCTTTATTTTCATGGAAATAAAAATGATCATGACTCATCTCTTCACTTTTAACAGCTCGTTGGCTACAATGAGAAGCCGGTGAACCTGCAGATGTTCATCGGGACAGCGGATGACCGTTATTTGAGGCCGCACGCATTCTACCAGGTTCACCGCATAACAGGAAAAACTGTCGCTACGGCAAGCCAGGAAATTATCATCACCAGCACAAAGGTTCTGGAGATTCCTCTCCTTCCTGAAAACAATATGTCTGCCAGGTACCTGCCAACAGCCCTTCATTTCAACATCAATCTAGATTCTCACTCACACACAGAAACATAAATACACACTTGATTTTCTATCATGGTGAGGACTTTCCATTTGACTATTGTTTTTAATAATATTTTATATCCCCTAACGTGCCTATTTTTACTTATTCATTATTTAGTACAGAATGATAAAGTTATTGTCCTTGCAATGACTGTCAGCTGCTCACCACAATGTAGATTGTTTTAGGTAAAGAAATTTGGTCTCCGCAATTTAGTGAAATACGCACAAATGATGTTTACTCTGGCCTACTGCTAAACCTAAGCGTAACAGAAAACTTTTGACATTATTGGATTTGGATTAAATATGAGTCTTTTAAATCATGAGAAACTCTTCACGTTTCATCACAAGTTGATTTTCTATGTTAGTAAATACATTTTCAAAAATGTGTCATTCACAAGTAGAATGAAACCTTTACACACACATGAGCACTCTTTTATCACATATACACTACTGTCCAGAAGTTTGGGATCAGTAGGATTTTTAAAATATTTTAGAAAGGAGTCTTTTGTGCTCATCAAGCCTATATTTATATCTATTTTAATATATTTTAAGTCATTTATTAAAGTAATAAGTAATTTATCCCTGTGATGGCAAAACTGAATTTTCAGCATCATTACTCCAGTCTTCACTGTTGCATGATCCTTCAGAAAACGTTTTAATATGCTGATTTGGTGCTCAGGAAACATTTCTTATTATTATCAATGTTGAAAACTGTTATGCTGCTTCATATTTTTGCGAAAACAGTGATAGATATTTTTTTTGTATTATATAATGAATAGAAAGAACAGCATTTATTTGAAATAAGAATGTTATGACAACTGTAAATGACACAAATTTAATTAATCATTGTTATCAATTTAATGCATCCTTGCTGAATAAAGGAATTTAAAAAAATCTTGCAGACCACAAACTTTTGAACAGTTTGTAAATTGCATTTATTTACAGTACAAAATACATTTACAAAAGTATGTTATTTATAACATGTAATTTCTGATTGAAAACATTAAAATCTGCCATTTTTAATAAGCACAGCTTAAAATTTGATTTCTGTGCCAGCTTTTAATGTACACTTAAATTGAAAATATACTGTTTTGTTATCAGTCATTTATTAACTCCATGAAAAGAGTATAAATCCAGAAAGTGACTTTGAGTGAATAGAAATCATTTAAGCAGTTTTGCTTGACAGAGAGTATGATGGAACTGTTATGGATACTTTTTTCTGATGTGTTTCTCCTGCTGTGTTTGTCAGTATTGATTGCGCTGGAATCCTGAAGTTGAGGAACTCTGACATTGAGCTGAGGAAGGGAGAAACTGATATTGGACGGAAAAACACTCGGGTCCGTGTGGTGTTCCGGGTTCACATCCCACAACCCAATGGAAAAGTGGTCTCACTGCAGACTGTTTCAATTCCAGTGGAGTGCTGTAGGTTTTATACACACACACAGAAGAAAAATATATTTGAGGGGGGAAAAATAAATAATATGTGTATATATATATATATATATATATATATATATATATATATATATATATATATATTTATTTTTTTCCCTCATTAATGTACACACAGCACCCCATACTGACAGAAAAACACAGAATTGTTGACTTTTTATATATATATAAAATTAACTGTCTAATGTGAATTACTGTCTTATCTGTATGTGTGGTTAAATAGCCCAGCGCTCAGCACAGGAGTTACCTCAGGTCGAGAAAGCCAGTATTAGCAGTTGCCCAGTGAGTGGAGGAGAGGAAATGGTCATCATTGGTTCCAACTTCTTCCCCGAGTCAAAGGTCATTTTTCTGGAGAAAGGTCCTGGTAAGAATTAATGGGGTTCAAGTGCTATTTTAGCTTCTTTTCTCATGTATTGGCTCTCATCATTTTTATTTAATATTTTTTCATTTTTCTAAGAGCATTTAAGTAAAAAGAAAATTATTAAATTCCATTATATTAACTTATATTTAAGAATCAAGTTATAATTAATTGTTATTCCAGGCAAACAATTTACATTTATATGGCCAGTTTCATATCTCTTGGGCCTTTTCTTCTCAGATATTTTTCTCACTTTATACATAATTGAAAGTCAAATCAATATTTCATATCCATTTGTTTATTTATTTAGTAAGTAGCTATGCACTAAGCTGGATAATGTACAGTCAACATGTCATTATATCAAAATCAACCCCTTTTAGGATGATATTAGATCCCTCCACTTAGTATCGTTACTTGCGTTTGGCTAGTAATAATTCCTTTTAGCAGGTTGCTACAAGCTCTGCAAGCACAGCTGCGTATGCACTACAAATGTCTTCATCATTCACTGTGAGCAAATATTGCCTCCTCACCTGTCTTACCCTCAAGGATCACAGTTATACCTGCACTAATCTCTGTCTTAGTGAAGCTAAAACAGCCTTATTCTTAAAAACGGCAAGATCAGGTGGTTTTTAGTTCAAATCTGTCTGGCTTTGGGAAACTGGAGCGATGGGTAAAATGTGAGGTAGTCTCGATTTCTCACTTCTAATTTGAGAGCGGAATTTGATTGTTTCTCGTCAAACCAGAGTGATTTATCTTCGCTTTATCAGCATCCTGACCTCCCACGGTTTCCCTTCTCCTCTGGGGACACTCTGTGTGTGTGTGTGTGTGTGTGTGTGTGTGTGTGTGTGTGTGTGTGTGCGTGTGTGCGTGTGTGTGTG